ACGGTGCTTATTCTGATAGGACAGGTAAAAGCGGCCATTTTGATTTCTGGGATACTTGGATCCACGAGTTCCTCATCAGTCTCTCCTTCGAAAGCATTTTGTGCTAAATTCATTAGCTTTCGGTATGGATATATAACCGGAAATGGAACCCTAGTTTCGACTTAATTAGTTGTTGCTTTCCTTGCATAATTTAGCCGGGGAGAGTCACCCACGATTGCGGTTCGCCGTACTCCCTATCCTCGAGTGAAGGTATAGCAACCCTGGTGTTGATGCCAATCACTTTTTTCTGTTAGGTACCAAATTCAGCTGGCGGTGTCATGGACGTACTAGAAGGAAGCGTAATGTATGTAGCTTCGGTCGAAGAGTGCTTTGCTAAGAATACTTCGATCTCCCGAAACATGTCTTTGGTGTACAGCTTGTTGCCGGACTCATAGGCATGTTGCACGGCCTGTGCCAATTTCTGGCCCTTTTCTTTTCCCGTTAATTGTCTCCTTTCTTCGATAGCTGGCCGCAGAGGGATCTCCCCAAACTGGGTACTCCGAACGGGCGTTGAGATCGCGTTCATGTTGGGATGCACTGAGCGGAATTTTGATGCACCACTTGGCTAATTCTTGGTTGAAATGCACGTAATGGTGTAGTCTGTAGGTTACTTTGTGAACAAGAGCTCGAGAACGGCTTTAGTTTGGTGAACAATGAACTTATTCTAGGACATAATTCATGTAAGAACACTTTGGTTGTATCGGCTTTCTATGCTGGCAGCCTTGTGCTTAGGGTGGCTGACTGTGTGTGTTAATTAATTGCGGCTCAAACTTACCTGTTCATTCTTGTTCTTCAGTTTCTAATAGAACAAGGAGATAACACAAAGTCTTTCATGTTGAGTTACTACCACGTCAGTGCGTAGGCAGATGCACCACTCGTTTGGCCTGCCTGCACATGGCCGGTAGATTGTAGTAGCTAATTGGGCTCAATTAGGACAGCATGTCATTAACCTTTTCTCAAGACTGGAATTCTACTTCAGTCCTGGTATTTCGCTGCTGGGCGTGTCAAACATGCGTCATAAGACAATTTCGAACCCGCTCTTTATAATGAGACTGGCATGAAGCTATTCAAAAGTACCTTTTTGTTTGTCGGCGAGTATTCCAACAATACATAAATGGAAAGCCGAAATGCACTCTCATAAAGATAAAACAAAAAAAAAAAAAGCAAAGAGAAAATAGAATAGAGAAACTAAGGGCTGCTATTCAACGTACATTACCCGAATGTTATCAGTGTTAGGGCTCTAGGGTAGGTCGCCCGTCGGCGGTGAGCATGTCTCGAAATCATGCTCGGTTTTGACATCCTTACTCCGAGCAGGAACAAGTCTTACTTCCTTCGGTAGTATAATTAATCATGTTCCAGACAAATCTCACAGTGAGGTAACGTGACCACAATGGCATAATTGTATGAGATTATGCTCTCTACGGTATTATTTTCTCCAGTCTGGGCCGTAGGAGCCGTCGGTGCAACTGCAACTGCGCTGCTTCCTTTCATAATGAAGACCGAAGACCGAACTCGAGCAAGTGCCGATGCCTGCGCGCTCCAGTGAGGCTGCTGAAGCTCATTTTCGGCATCCGCGGTGCCGAGTTGGGTGGGATGTGTTAATCAATTCATCGGTCCATGCGGCTCCTTCATATTGACCGGCTGGTGCAGGGATCACTCGTTACCAATTGTGCAAGACATACATGAGCGACTCATGCAACGATAGTGGTAATAAAAGGAGGCATTATTATTGAAAAATTAAAATAGCAAGTGGCTCCCCGAAAACAGCAGTGGAACGTGGTCAAGTTAGACTACTCACCAAAGCTTACAAATCCTCACTGGCATTCAACCTGACCCTGGCGTCAACAGCATCTTGAAAACGGCAGTTGAGATACGGATCAAACGAGGCAGACTTGGCGCGCGCTTGGGGGTTTTGGGGAGTGATAGGGCGATCTCACGTCAGCGCAGAGCCAGTGGCTCAAACCTGATTCATTTGCTCACGGGCGCAGCCAGGACAGCAGAAGCTTCAACTGAGCGGTGTTGGGCCGTCTCTTGGCAGGGGTCTCGGGGAATCGGCTGGGCGTACTTGATCTTTCGATCCCCCAACGCTCCTTGCATAGGGGCGTCTAACCGACCTGGTGGGATCTGCACCTGCGTGAGTGATGTGAGAAATAAGGGACCTAATGCATGGCGCCGTGCTTGTGTCCCCCAAGCTCACCCAAAGTACGATCAATGTGCCTGTATAAGGAAATTTAAGCAAAATATGTACCCATATGGAGGCCTCCCGTTTCAGTAACACCCCGCCAGCACACGGATAATTGGGCATGATGAGGAGAGACAGGAACACCAGGCGGAAGCAAATACAATCGAATGAGGGCATTCATGCGGCCGGGCCGTCCCTCTGATAAGGGGAAGGTTGGATTGCTGTGCTGTGGGTGGGTGTGATTTAGTTCAAGCCCCATTGGACGGCCGTAATCAAACCGGCTCAGTATGATTGATCAATACAACCTGTCGTATGCATCACAGCAACCTCAGCTCGCTTCATTTGCCGGCGAGAGATAAATTGGCCGTCCTGAATCCTCCCAGGATGCCTACCATCTACCACACCCTGGACCCGGCGAGGCTCCTTCGTTGGTCCAGAAGGCATCCTTATTGCTCCTGCTCCCACAATCCGCCAACATAGCAGGCGTGTCATAGCAGGCGTGTTATAGCAGGAAGAGCAGTCCTCACCCACATTTGGCCATAGAGCGCGTGTGGAGGCGACCTAATATTCTTAGCACTCAGGCTAGGCCCCCATGTCGCATCAGCCCTGCTTGCTCCCCTTGACCCCTTCCCGCTGGTGCACGTGCTCTCATCCCAGAAGACCAGTCTTCTTCTTCCCCCGCTGAGGGTCTAGACTGGCCTACCGGCCGGGCCAGGGTCGTACAGCCAGTCCTACAAGCCCATCGTTTCAACGAGGAGCTTAGCCTCCATCATGTTCAGGTCATGATCACCGAAATGGAAGACTAGGAAGGAGAGAAGGAAGATTAAAGTATTGTGAGTTTTGAGTTCATTTAGTGGTGGTATCTCTCTAGAAAAACAAAATAAAATCGTATGTAGTAGGTAGAGACAGTAATGTAAGTGTGTACTGTATGATGCATAAACCCACTCCGAGGAAAAATAACCCAAGCCATAGGCTAATGTCGCCATCGATGGCCAATCAAACGCCCAGTCCGAACCACCCACCCCTCTCATCATCGCCGGTTTGTCATTCTTGTCTTGGGTCATTATCCGAAGCGAACAACATGGTGGTAAATCCGAGTGTATCCAATAGTAGTTATTAAGGAAACAAAAAACGCCTTGGGACCGTTAAACGCGCGCGCTGGTATCTATCCGATCGGTGATACATTTGTACAATGAAGAAAATCCAGGAAGTGTAGGCCGACCGGGGGTATTTCCGTGCATAATCCTTTTAGTTCCGTCGTGTGATGTGTAGTTTAGTATGAGAAATGAGAAAAGACGAGGCGGTGGTTCAAGCTACACCTCCTCAACAAGGCCGAGGGCCTTCTTCTCGTCGAGTAATACTCGCTGTTGCCCCTTTTCTTCCTCAGACTCCTTGGAGTCATCGCATGTCTGCACACATTCAAAGTTAGTTTAAAATCAAGTCTTGCTGGATCAGGATGGTGGTTTGCACATACCTTGCTGAGGACGAAGCTGACGAGGTAAATAACGGTGAAGCCAATCAGAAACAAGAAAGAAATGATATGTGCCCAGACCATAACGGTATGAATAATTGGGTGTCGGTGACGGTGGTGGCGGTGATGGCGATGATGGCGATTGTGTCGGCCCCATGATTGATGCTCTCCATCAGCGAGATACAGAATATCACCGCCGTGCTTTGATTCGCTAACGTCGGTGGCCTCTAGCGAAGTGGCCGGTGCTTGGCCATCTTCCTCGCCCGTCTTCTTGTTGTTGAACCAGAAGACAGGGAGAAGCCTCGAGTTTGCGCCAACGGTCTCGATGCGGCCCAGGGATTTCGAGAGATATCGTGGGGCAGCGTGGAAGAAATGCATCAAGATGCAGCCTTCATGTGCTGGCCGCGAAGGCTGCTCGGGCTCTGAGGAGACATGGCGGACCTTCATGAGATCACTGTCGTCGATGTGAATAGTGGTCTCCTCGCGAACCTTGAGAAGGTCGCTGTCGTCGATCTGAAGACCGTGAGATGGCACGAGGGCGGTCGGAGCAGCAAGGCTCAGGGCAGCGCCCAGTGAGAGAAGCAGAACAGGCCGCATGGTGTAGATTTGGCTGGTTAGTGACTGTTGGTCGTCGTAGGAAGAGAGCTGCAGCTGCGCCTCGACTGAATAGGTCCTTGATGGAGGGTTGTATGGTGATGATGGCTTATGCCCCTGCCGATACTTTCGTTCTTCCTTCCAAATGAGTGATGTGAGGCAGATTGGGTTTATGAGTGCATGTGAGACTCTAATTATGGAAAAAACAAAGGCCGTTCTCTCTGTGTAGGATGGAACAGGGAGGATCGATGGCAGAGGAAATTAAGTATTCAAATAGGGAAGAGGAAAAGCAAAGTTCGCCCAGTACCGAGATTCGTCCCAGAAAGGAAAGATGGGCTATGAGACTTGGAGGTAGGGAACGGAGCCCGCAGGAACCTTGAGTGAGACGGCTACTATATTGCGACTGGTGCCAAAGCAATCCTATTAGTTTCAGTAGCGGGACACCAGTAGTCGGTCGGGAATGTGGTGGAGTGAGTGACTGATTGGTGCGAATGCGCAGGTGCTCGACGGAGGCCAACCGGGGGAGAGCTAAGGATGGACACGGGCCCAAGCGAGGAATGAGTTGCTGTCGATGAATGGCGATCTGTCAACCGGGCCAAAACGAGGGGGATCAGGCACGATTAATACAGCGAGGTGGGGGATCCAGCTGCTTGGGATCTGCTAGGAGGCAGCCAACGGTTGACGGCACGCGCATAAGCATTATATTGCGATACGATGGCTGGACTCTGGAGGATTGAGGCAGCGGCACTCAAGAGCGCTCTAGGTCCGGGACTGGGCCCTAGAAGCGGAGGACGGGCGGTAAGTTCCACTAGCTCTTGGGCCAGAATGCGCCAAAAGGACCGCAGTATTTTAACCCGAATAGGCGTTCGGGGTGCCCTCTCAGCCCCATCGGCAGCCCCTCGGCAGCCCAGAGGTTCTGGACCCAAGGGAGCGTTCAGCAGTGAGGAGCACGGGGGGCATACGCCAAGGCCACTCAGCCCACGCGACACTCGTGTACCGTACGCGAGCACGCACATCACATCTGGGGACCGGCCTGGTCTAGACGCAGCCAGCGCGCACCCACGCTTGCTAATCCGCCGTAGGTCGCTCGTGCTCGCCTTAGGCTACCCTACGGTAGATAGTCTCTCTGGTAGCCTACAGACTGGATACGTTTCGGATGTCGGCTCGCCATGGTGCTTGGCGAGAGGTAGCACCAGGCACTGTGGCTGACCATGAGTCCATCAGTGAGACCGATCATGATCGAGGATCGCCGCCTATGTATGCTTACATGAACAAGAGGACGCACTGCCTGACCACGTACCAGCTTCCAGAGTTCAGGCCACTCCGTCCTGGGCCACCGTGTTCAGGTACATGTAACTTACTTGCTTACCTGTCATCAAACGGGCCAGGCCTACAGAGATCTGGGGCAGATCATTGAGTGACGGTGCAACGCTGCGAGGCTATCTGCCCATCGATCCAGTTGAACGAGCTTGAACGAGCTTTCGTTGTTTGTTGGATGAACTCGGGTAGTCTACCCGGCCGGGAGACACGCAGGACAAAGCATCTTCCGCTGATCAAGTGCTATCTTTACAGTCCCCGAACCCCCAGACCTTGGGTGAGTGACGCATGGTGGGGTCTAACGATGTTTCAACGGCAGATAGAGACGTGGAGGTTGTCGCGACCCTCGAGATCGAACCGGCCTTCCAGGCTCGGTCACAGATCACCGGCTGTGTGTGATTCGCATGGTGACCCTGGAGCACTCAACCATCCAATATGCCGTGCCTGATAATAGACTCCATATATCTATTAATATCCTGTCGTCTGAAGGGCTCGTTGACTTGCCATTGGATTCCACGTCATGCCCTTGGGGCGTCATCACCTCCTGCATCGTCGTCCGACGTCCCTGCAGTGCGGCCGTCATTAAAACGTATGTGTGCCAAGAACCAGGTTCGCGTCAACCTACGCAGTTGGGATGCGTTGGGGTCGGTTGGCAGATGGCAGTGCTGTGTCAAACGGCGTCTTCGAGGTCGCCGTGGCAGTTGCTCACGCAGTAAGATCATCCTCAGTGGTCAATGCCACTCCCGCGACCCCAGTGCAACGGAGTCTGATGGAACCCACCAGATCCCCATTGCAATGCAGTGGGCCACTGGCATTGCTAGCGTATCTGCACCTATCGGGAGTTCCTCCTCCCCCCACCCAGGCCCTATAACCACAAATACCGTCCACTACAGTGCCATTGCATGGTGGGAGGGCGGGTGCGGACTCGCCTCTGATTGGCCGCAGCGTATCGCTCTGCCCTGTGGGCCTCTCCCAGCGTCGCGGTTGGAGGTTCGGCTCATCGAGCTTGTTCAGCGATGCCCTCATTTCCCTGCCGAGATATATTAGCTGCTACACATCGTGTTCCTCTCCCCTCTGTACGCTGCGGTAACCTCCATTGGAAGGCGCGCCTCTATGTTGTTATGTTCTCGGCCCGCTATGGCGTCTAATGCTGCTGGAAAGGGCGTTCACAAGCCCAAACTTACCAGGGCGTACGCGCCCAAAGTTCGCACCGGGTGTCTCACATGGTAAGTACATTCGCACCATCCTTCTTGTCTAGCGGTCCATCTGTCAACTTCTTCCTTCCATCAAATACATCCTCGATTCTTTCATTCATTCAACCATACTATCTATGATCATGGCGTCCTCTTCCCGCTGCACCAGCCTCTTAGACTCATGGGCTCTTGGAGACCAGTCTATTGACAGGGCCTAGAGGCTGTTCCAGACTCTTTCCCTCCCCTCCCAATAAAAAGAACCCCTCCCTTCCAAGTTTCGTGTTGGTCCATCACCAGGCCTACCCAAACGGGTAAGGCACAACGTCTCTCGGGGCCGAGCAGGTGTGTGGATTCACAAAACGGCCAACCCGAGAACGAAGCCGAACCGCTGGGTTTCTGTTTGCGAATGCTGAATGGAGAATTATGCTGTGGAGATCCGATTGAATTGACAGACTTGCAGCAAGTAGGTTGTCCTCTTCGGCCTCATTCATTGGCTTTTATCCGGCGGTTCATGCACGAAGGGTTCATCTGCAGACCATCGTTGCGACCGCTGGCAGACCGCTCCCAGCCCTACGACGTCCCTTCCGCTCCAGGCCAAGCCAAGTTTGTCTGCCTATATTTGCGACAGTATTCTAATAAAATGAAATACTAGAGCTCGCCGTAAGAAATGCGATGAAGAGAAGCCCACCTGCCGCCGGTGCAGAGACGGTGGCTGGAAGTGCGATGGTTACGCCCACTTACCTGGGAGCACTGCTGGCAGTGCAGTCCTTCCCGGAACCTCCAGTAGCAGAAGCAGCAGCGTCGATAGTAGCCGAAGCAGAGCTGGCACGCCGGCCAGGAGCATCGTCGTCCGACAGGCGACACCCTCCTCCAACAACCCCAAAAGCATAGTCAAAAGATCGGATCGCAGCAACACCACCAGCATCAGCCCCTCTCCCTCGCCCACTCCCGCCGCCGCCGCCTCCGCCTCCCCTCAGACCATCCTGCGACCGACGAGAATCTTTGCGAACGAAGGAGAAGCCCTCGAGCTGCGCTTCCTCGGCCACTTCTTCAACTGTACGTTGGGGGATATTGTTCATACAAACGGCCCTCAAGACTTCTGGCGACGGACCCTTCCCTCGCTAGCACAGAGCGAACCCTTGATCCGCCACGCCGTCACGGCATTGGGCACCACGCATTGGCTGTTCATGGGCCATGAAGTCGCAACTCCGAACCAGATTGCCTCCTCCGAGGCTGTGCTCAACCACCAGTACAACCAGGCCATCACGCGGCTCGTCCCGTTGATGTCACACCCTCCAGATTCTAACCCTAATATCCCCCTTATACTTATATGTTGCCTCCTCTTCGTCTACCTGGAGGCTCTGCGAGGCGCTCGCAACGAGGCATTCCAGCATCTGGCATCTGGCTCCCGTCTCCTTGCTTCGCTGTCAGAGGTATCACCAACCCCACCGGTTTCCGAGGAGACTTTGCGAGAGATTGCCGCCTTGTTCAGGGGGATTGGGTCGGATGTGACACCGTTCACGTATGATAAGATGCTCTCTAATCTTGCATCCTTCGCAAACCCAGCCGCCGGGGATAGCGAGGCGGTCACAAAGCCGTTTGCCAGCTTGGAAGAGGTATGGGACGAGCTGGCGGAAATCGAGATGCAAATGTACGACACCGAATGGGAGGCGGATGAGGGGGGGAAGTGGGCAGACGTACCGCTGGAACAAAGAGAGGTGGAGCGGGCGTCGTGGGAGACAGTGAAGAAGCGATTCCTGGTGTGGGAGGCCCGCTTCGAGCAGACGCTGGAAACCCTCGGATTGGAGAGTGACGAGAGCTACGAGGTTCTGAACCTGCGGCTGCAACGGCACATGTGGAGGCTCATGGTGGACGACGACGAGGAGGAGTCGTGGGACGCGGATCCCACGATGGAGCCGGACGAGTGTGCGAAAGTCATGGACCAGGTGGAGCGGCTGCTGTCCATGACCCCGTCTACGATGCGTGTCTTTACTCTGCACGCCGACCTCATCCCCGCGCTGATTGTCGTGTACGGTTCGTGTGCGGACACGGCGGTGCGGCGGCGGGCCATCACCCTGTTACGGCTACGAAGGAGGAGAGAGATTGTGTGGGACAGCGAAGAGATTGCACAGTTTCTCGAGGCAGACTTGGAGCGGTGTCTTGCTGGGGCAAAGAAGGCTGGGTGGCCTGAGATAGGGCCATGTGCGGACAGGAAGGCCTTGTTGTTCTATCGACCTCTGGAAGCATGAACGGCTGGTAGAGATTACGGGCGACAAGCCGTTCAGACCATCGCCCACTCTCTGAAAACTTACGCTCAACGTCTTTATTGTTCTAATCGGCCTTTACATTGCCTACATCTGCTATCTATAGTTGCATACTATCCAGGTTACCTGATGAGAGTCAAGAGGTGGAAACGCCCGAAGGCATAGCAGCTGCTGGAATCAGGCGTCGGCAATCGCTACCATGGTATACAGCATTTCAAAGGGAGTTGGTCGCACGCAATCTCTCGGGGTTTTGATTTTGTGTCAATGCAATACAACGCTCTGGATACATTGCTGGGGGTTGATAATGAAGGCCAGGCAAGGTGTGAAGCACTGCACATGCGATTCCTCGGAGACGTTCTCGGTAGATCACAGCAGCGAATGCGGACGCCGACGAACGCTGGACCAAATTGTGACAGATACTCCGTCGGTGATAGACGGAGAAGAAGGGATGGGACTGAGAGCTGTGCACTCAGGGGGAATTATTAGGGACACCAAACCAACTTGTCTCATGGTGGCGGTGCGGCTCGGTCACAAGTTACAGAGCAAACTAAAATAAAAATAAAATAAAGTATCTCATCCTCCCGGGCGAATATCCAAACATGATCAATTCATTGATTCGGCATCATCGATTAATGGAAGTGGGCAGTGCATTGTAGTCATGGCCTTCTAAGCAGCAGTCAGCGCACCTCGCTGTTTCGAAACAAAGCAATTTGTCATAATTCTCGCACTCGTCTTACACCTTGATCTCTGTTCATACTACGAGTGGTAATTAACAGCGAAGCCGTGCAAATAGGCTGCCTCCCAGAACTGGTTATGATGACATCGCCATGGGTGGAGTGGAGTTATATCCATCGAATTGGTCCGGGGCCGAGATACCGAGGAGCGCCTTTTGGAACTTTGTCGAGCAGGTTCTTCGGTGGTTTCCCCGTCTCTTCCTTGCTTCTTCTCTCGGATATTTACTAGCGCGGAATCCATGGAAGGCGAAACGGATGGAGGAGTGGAGTGGATAGGGGGAAACATGCATCCACGCTCAGGGGAGAGCCGTATTCCTTATTCAGCATCGTGATTTTCCCCCTCCCACGACTTTAAAACGGCGTAGGCCGGCGTGCTCCAGTTATTAGTACGAAACCGGGCAGTAGAGCGAGGTCCCATCACTACGGCGAGATCCGAATATGGCAAAAGAGAAGAACATGGACTGGCCGGCTCCTGGCGCTCGCCGTTTCCTCACCGAAACGAGCTGGCCGAGATCTGGCAGGCAGGAAGGCGGG